CCCCTCCCACTCCTATACAATTTGGTAGCCTCTCCCCCACCATGAGTAGTCCCGAATCATCCCCTATCCCCTCCCCACCACCACCCCCACCCATATGCCACCCGATGACAACTCGTGCACGGAGTGGCATCTTCAAACCCAAACTTTATTCCACCTCCACTCAGCCCTCTTTCCCACCTACCACAAAGCCGGTTACATATAAGGAAGCCTCCCAGAACAGTTATTGGTGTCAGGCCATGGATGAAGAATATAATGCCTTGCTCAGTCAACACACGTGGGATCTCGTTCCGGCACCTTCAGATCGTGTTCCTATTGGGTGTAAGTGGATTTATAAAATTAAACATAACTCTGATGGCTCTGTTTCCAGGTACAAAGCACGTCTAGTGGCAAAGGGATATACACAGGAATATGGCTTGGATTACTCTGAGACATTCAGCCCAGTTGTTAAACAGCAGACTATTCGATTGGTTCTGTCCCTAGCTGTTAATCACAACTAGCCTCTTCATCAGTTAGATGTCTCCAATGCCTTTCTTCACGGAGTTATTCCTGATGAAATTTATATGAAGCAGCCTCCAGGTTATATCGATGAGCACTACCCTCATCATGTGTGCAAACTACAGAAATCCTTGTATGGTTTGAAACATGCCCCAAGAGCTTGGTATCAACGTCTCTCCGGCTTCCTTACTGACTATGGCTTTGGGAAAAATGAACATGACACAAGCTTCTTTGTTAAGCACTCTCCCTCCGGTGTTCTGATTGTTCTACTCTATGTTGATGACATCATTGTTACTGGTAGCACCTCCTCCCTCATCTCTTCATTTATTCATGCTATGCAACAAGAGTTTCAAATGAAGAATCTTGGCCCTCTTCACTATTTTTTGGGACTTGAGGTGACACGCAAAAAGGATTATCTGATTCTGTCTCAGGAGAAATATGCCCGTGAACTGCTTCACAAAGCCGGCGTCGACGATTGCAAAACAGCCCCTACGCCGCTGCCTGTTCGGCCGACCGACGAGGGGGAGAGTCCCCCGTTTGACAATCCTACCTTCTTCCGCAGCCTAGTTAGATCTCTTCAATACTTAACCAACACACGGCCAGATATTCAATTTGCTGTGAATTATGTTTGTCAACGTATGCATGCACCCACTGAGCGGGATTTCCAGGCCTTAAAACGTATCCTTCGCTATGTCAAAGGAACCATTGATCATGGCTTAATATTCAGGCGTGGACCACAAGTCATTCGGGCATACTCTGACTCAGATTGGGCTAATGATATGACTGATGGACGCTCTGTTACTGGTTACTTGATATATTTTGGCTCAAATCTAATCTCTTGGAGTACGGAGAAGCAAAGCCGCGTGTCCTGGTCGTCCACCGAAGCCGAGTACCGAGCACTCTCGGCTGCAGCAGCTGAAGTAATGTGGCTCACCTATTTGTTTTACATCCTACAGATTAAGCTTCCTCCTCCTCACCTTTTTTGTGATAATCAGTCCACTATCTGTCTGACAAAGAATCCTGTCTTTCACAAGCGAATGAAGCATGTTGGTACTGATTGCCATTTTGTACGAGAACAGGTAATTGCTGAACAAATGACAGTCTCGTATGTTCCTTTCCATGAGCAACTTGCAGACCTTCTCACAAAAGCTCTCTCGATCTTCACCTCGCTACTCTGCATTCGTCGCCAAGCTTCCTCTCATTTCACGGCGTTCAGCTTGAGGGGGGATGTTAGATAACTATGGTAATAGTTATAGTTATAGAAGGATTGTTATTATAGTAAGTTACTATACTTGGAGAATCCTAATTGATGTAAGAATCTCCATCTATATATAAACTACCTTGTACACAATTATTTCCTTGTGTTGGAATCATAATTCAATAGATAGTATACAAGGATTGATGGTAGATGTTGGCATCCTTCTTAATTAATGATGATGGGATGAAAGAGTTTGAAGCAATTAAAGAAAGGTCAAAGAGGGTATCCAAACTCAAGCGGAACAGCTAAGCTATACGGGATGGATGGATGTCCAACCGACATATATGGATGCGGACTCCCCCATTTTGCATGTCCGTTACTTCACGGAGTAATAATTAGCTAAGTGGCACACTAATATTTCACCGACTTCATATAGTTAGTGCGAGTGGGATCCACCAACAAAATGGCGACTGGCGGGCGAGTGATTGGACGTCGGAACTTTCACTAGATACCGGCGGTACGGATCGGGTACTCCCCGTAATAATTAATTAAGCCAGTTGTCATGCCTAGAGACTAATGACTAAATTGTCTTTCTTATGGTTCGTGATGATCCAGTATCGGTTACGGAACAGATTGAGGTTAATATAATAATATGTACCTACTTAATTTACATTAAAATATATAACAAAAATTTTTAATTTTTAAAAAAATTTAAATTACATTTAAATCATTATAAAAACAAAAAATGATATTTATATTTGACTCCAAAGTCAATATTAACTTGTGGGGTGCAATTGAAGGGGGTAAGAGGGTGTATTCGATCGGGGCGGGGTGGGAGGTTTACCGGAGGGGTAGGAACCGTCAATTTTATGAACGGGGCACCGGAGCGCCCCCGACCCGTGTCATACCATGACATTGGGAAAATGTCATGGGAACCTTAGTGTAGTTAATATGAGTTGGAGACAAATTTTTGAGGTTAGATTTTTTTTATTTAATTTTAAATTTTATGTATATGCCCCCCAATTAACATTAAGGAAATCACATCTAATTAGGAAAATTTTTAATTTTATGATTACTTTTTTAATAAAGTATATTTATGAGCACTTAGAGCATCTCTAAAGGGACTTGTTATTTGTGGCTTGCTATTGCTTTTTTTAGCAAATGAATAGTGGTATAACAAGCCACTTTTTGCTCTCTTTTCCAACCATGACTTGTTATATTAAACTCTTTCCATCCCAAAATGTTTTACTCATTTTGATCAATGTGCAAAACCTCATGACTTTTAAAATAATTTTATTTACAAATTTGTAAAAAAACAAAATAAAAAATTATATTTAAAATTTACATCAAAAACTCTACAAAACAAGAGCTGATAAAAATATTTTATTTTATCAACTGATCAATGAAAATACGCAAACAAATAAGAGTTATATCGAGATGTCATAATAGCAAATGGGTAATTTTTTGGGACGGAGCATGTAACTAACAAATATTTTTTTTCTGATAACCATTATAATACATAAAATATAAAAGTTCTTGAATTGTATTTATCCATGTAAATGTAAAACAAAAGTACTCCCTCCGTCTGGAAAAGAATTTCTCATTCTACATTTTTCTCCGTTCAGAAAACAACTTCCCATTATATATTTTCACACTCAATCTTCCTAAATACCCTTTCCTAAAATAACAGTATGTAATTAAAAAATACTTCGTATAAAATAAAATGTTTCTAATTAAAATAAAATAAATCAAACAACTCTTCTTATGGTAAAAAAATCACATTCACATCGGAAAAAAATGTTATACGTAGTATTTGTGCAGTATATATATATCATTGCAAAAGAAATTTACATTAATTTTTGTTATAAATAGCAAGGTGTTTTTATTTTTTAACAAGCTAGTCAAATTTTGAATAATCCCTTGGAGCATGATATTTTGTATATGCTTGTGAAATTATAACATATAACAAGTCATTTTACTATGGTTGGAGATGCTCTTACAATGGGGTGCCCTCCTGCCCTACCCCATTTCTTACCACAACAATTTTCCTCTCTTTTTCAGCACTGCCTCAAAACACATGTAATGATATCACTCTCTCACCCGGCCTCTGCGTTTCTTTTATATTATTCATCATTTTTCATAAAAAAATAATTTTTTATAAAAATATCTATTTATTAATAAAAATATGAATACATATAAAAAAGGATTGTAAAAATTAAAAAATTAAAAATAAGCAAATACCACATTAAAAATACGGAATGCTACATTACCAGAAGAGAAAATTTAACATGCTTACTAAAAATATACGGGAGCGCTACCCTCGGACCTTTGGTCAGTGGTGCCCTAACTATTCGAATTTCTAGATCCGCCACTGGACTAAAGGTGAGACGCAGAGATTAAGTATATTATTATATAAATAATTTAATAAGACATGTTTTATAAAAGATTTTCAAAAAAGTAATTTATTGCATTAATATATATATATATATATGAGTAATATAAAACTCATATTTATTTAACTATAAAAATTTAAGAGTAAATTCTCAAAATGGTTTTTTCTAATAAAATATTTTTCTAAATCAGTCATCAATAAATTCTAATTACCTACGTGGTACTTTATAATTGAGATTTATTTCCTAAATGTTCTCCATATAAAATGTCACTTAAAAATATGGGTTAAGTGGAAGGTAATTTTTTTATTCTTCATCATCTAAACTTAGAGTAAGTTTTCAAAATGATTATTTCAAATGAAGTGTTTTTCCAAAATAGTTTTTCTATATAAGAAGGTGTATTTGATTCAAATTTTAAAATATTTTGACATATTTTTAATAATTCATAGATTATGTATAGTCTATGATTATTTTAATTTTGCATTAAATTATATAGAAATGACCATTTTAAAAAGTTGCTCTAAGTTTAAATGATGAAAATACAAAAATATCTTTCAATTAATCATCATTTAAATGATATTTTTTACGAAAGATTATTTAAGGAACAATTATAAAGTATCATGTCAGTAATTCGAACTAATTTAGAAAAACACCTCATTAGAAAAACTATTTTAAAAATTTACTCAAAATTTATTTAAATTCCAAAAACAAATTGCCAAATCCGAATGAAGGGAGTAGGAATGTAGAGGATGCACTTGCTCCGCGCCATTGATTGGAGTAGGACTAAAATGCAGCGAATGACCATTTTTAGTAAGTTTCAAATAATAACAAATCATGGCAGATTTGGTATATATGGTTGGTCGAACACAAACAACCAATTCGAAAAATAAAAATAAATAAATAAAAGTAAAAAAAAAAACAAATACTACTCCGTATCGGTTTCAGACTTTCAGTAATGGCAGCCCACCAGAATCATCTTGAGATTTTGCATCTTGAGATCGTCTCCTTCTCCTTCTCCTTCTTCTTCTTCCATTGGAGGGGGCAGATTGAGATCCAGCGCCAGAATCATCTCTCTGCCGTCCGATGGTGATCCGGAGCCGTGGGTCGCACCGTAACTTCCCGTGGGGGGCCTCGCAGGGGAGTGGTGGACGGGCCTGTGCCTTCTCATGTGACCTCCCAGAGCTTGACCCGACCCGAACTCCGACCCGCAAACCGCACACTCGTGGGTCTTGCTGCTGTTTTTCGGTGCGGCGATCCCCGCGGTACGACTCCGTGGACCTTCTTTTTCGTCCGCCGCGGCGAATCCGGTCCTCGGCTTCTTGTGGCTCGCCCTGTGCCCGCCCAGCGCCTGGAACGACGGGAAATTGCGGTCGCAGGTCTTGCACCGGTAAGCAAACGGACCGGTTTGGCCGCCGCCGCCGCCTGCCAGGAGAATTAAACAATTCGCGAGGGCTTCATCTTCGTCGTTGGGAACCGATGCCGCCGCGGATGAATGGCAATCGCCGCCGCCGGTGGAGCAGCTCGAGTTTTCCGGCGACGAAGTGCCGCTTCGGCGTTTGGTGGGATTGCACTTGGCCGCCAATGCCATCTGATGAGAATCGGAGTCTTCTCGAGAGATTTGCATAACGTATAAATGAAGAAAACAGATGAGAAATTGATTGAGAGCGGTTTAGAATTGTTGGAGTAAAAGAATTTGAGGGCTGGCTAGCTAGGAGAGTGGCGAGTGGTGTGATTATATAGAAATAAAGAATGGTAAGTAAAAATTGATGGATGGATTCATACTCCATCCCACTAGTGTCCGAATGTATTTGTCCAGTTTAACTTTTTCGAGTCAAACTAGACAAACTTTGAGCTTCAATAAAATGAAAACCGTAATGTATTTTAACATAAAAATGACTTTATTGGATTTATCGTATTGAGGACTTTCAAAATTGTATTTCATTAAGCTAATATGCAATATAAAATTGGGAGTAATTGGAGTTCAACGTTTATCCAGACTCGAAAAATAAAACTGGACAAATGATTGGGAGAGAGGTAATAAAAGAATTTGAGGGCTAGCTACCTACGACTAGGAGAGTGGTGAGTGGTGTGATTATATAGAAACAAAGAATGGTAAGTAAAAAGTGATGGATGGATTCATACTCCATCACTCTAATATTTATGTTGGAGCATGTTATACCTAATTATCTACCACAAAATTTGTATCCAAATTGTATACTCAAGGTATGCACTAATATTTTAATGATTCACACTGACACAAAGTGTTGGTGCGTTAAAAAAAAGTTACACTAACGCAAAGTGTTGGTACGTTAACAAAAATTAACATTACACCAATACAAAATATTAGGGCATCCCTACGGGGTACAAAGTGGAGTGTAAATCTTTGGGGTACAAATAGCATTACCCATTTATGTTTCACCCAATTAATAAAAATGAAATGGTGTGGTACCATTTAGGGTTAATAGCATTGTTAGAATAAGTGCCCTTCACTAGAGGGGGGTGAATAGTGAGGCACGGGAATGTTTATAAATTTTCGCGGAATAAAAATCGCATGGATAAAGTAAAGAGCGGAATAAAAAAGCGTAAGGAAAGAACACACCGATTTTACCCTGGTTCACCACAACGTGTGGCTAGTCCAGCCTCCCGAGAGACTCTCTCGAGCTACACTACTTCCGTTAAGCTTACGGGTGCTTAACAAACCGTTACAACCTGAGAACTCGAATCCCACGAGCCTCAATACACTTGCTCGGAGATACCGCACTCCAAGACTTCAACCCGAAGGAATATGCCCTTCCTTCGTACAACCAAGGGAACAAACCTCCCTTAAAGTGTTCACAACACTTAACCACTCAAGAACAAAAACTCACTTAAAGAGTAGAATATGAGTAAACTAATTTAGATCAAGAACGCACTCAATTCCTCAAGAAATGGCTCTAAAAAGCAATGTAAAAAGTTTATGGAATGATGCAATGTAAAACTATGAAATGTGAGGAATGGTTGTGAAAAAGAGACCCAAAAGACCCTTATTTATACCCAAAAATGATGTGTAACGGATGGGAGTTGATTTGGGTTTAATGGCATGATTTTTTGGAAATTAAATAAAAGTGGATCTGCAGGAAATTAGCCTACCCAGCGATGTATGGAACTACTCATCGATGGTAAGCCATTTTTCCTTTAGTTTTAAAGACAACGGTCACCTACCCATGGATGGGTAAGAGCTTCCCATCGCTGGGTGGGAGGTTGACTTTCAAACAAGGAAAAAATCAGCCTTAAATGCCTTACAACGGTCATGTCTTCCCATGGATGGGTAATATCCTCCCATGGCTGAGAAGTCACTTACCCATGGATGGGTAATATCTCCCATCGCTGGGTGGCATGGTTCTGCAATCCCGGATCACTTACCCATGGATGGGTAATATCTCCCATTGTTGGGTGGCATGGTTCTGGAATCCCGGGATCACTTACCCATGGATGGGTGATATCTACCATCGCTGGGTAGATGGCTAGTCCAAAACCATGGCCTAGCCGACCGGCGCTCAAACCCGACTGAAAAATGCAAAGTTCTCCAAAGTAAAACCTAAGTGTTTAAAACACTTATTTAATGTATTTTATGTAGAAACCAAGTATAAAAACTTAAAAACCACTTCATTAAGGTAAAAACCACGGCTAGCCAAGTTTATGCTGTTTCGCATGGTTTTTGCCAAACGACCAAAACCGAGAGGTGGTTTTTGAAGTGTTTTTATTGGAGAACCATTTGGATATGTCCAGAAGTAAAAGCCAATCATAAAATATTAAAAACCACATGATTACTTTGGACGCCAAAAACCAACGCCGATAACCAACGCCGAATGCCGATAACCAACGCCGAAAAAACAAGGGTTATGGTTTTTGAAAACTAATGATTTGGAAAACCTTTAAATGTGTCCAGAAGCATAAACCAAAGATAAAAACCCAAAAACCATTTGGTTAAAATCAATGCCAATAACCAATGCCGAAAACCGAACGCCATAGACGAACGCCGATAATCGATGGTTATGGTTTTGGTTAAGCAAGAACCATGGGTTTTAGAAACTTAAAAACCATTTATGAAAACACTCATTTGATGCATGAAAAACATATTTTGTTTTGAGCCATGACGTAGAGAAATTGAATGAGCTTGTTACAATAAAAACCTAAGTCTTTAAAAACGTCTTCAAAGCGCCAATGTCGCCATCTTTAGCAACGTTAATGCCTTTCTTGTGCTTTTTGTTTCTTCAAAGAACTTTTTCTATCTCTTTGAATCTTTTCATTTTGTTCCATGTTCCCGACGGTTTGTTAATATCAAAACCTAAACAGAAACAAGCATTGTCATTAGCAAAATGTCAAAGTGAAAATGTTTTCCAACAAGCATGGGTGCACCCTGTGGTTTACAAAAGAAGCGCCAAAACCTCTTCTAATTTCAAAAGTTATTTGTAAAATCTATGTGGTTTTTAAATAGTGCACAGACGCACCCTCTTGCCTATTTTTATACATGAAATGACATTCCTGCCCTTGGTTAAAAAAATGAAATAAAATACAGTTTTTTTATTATAAATAAAAGTAAAATAAAAAAATTAGATGACTTATAATCACTCTATCTCTAATATAAAATATATTCTTTTAAACTTATCATACTTTAAAGGTTATCATAAATAAATTTTCATAAATGATGAATGAGCATTTAAAGCAATTCATTTAATTTAATCACGTGTCATGTCATTTAAAAATTGTCATTTAAGGTGACACATGTATACTTGTTGGAGAAATGAGTCTAAAATATTATAGTAAATGATTAATTAGTGGTATAAGATGAGCTACTCGAGAGTATATTTTAGCTCAATAAATTTTTATACAAAAGAATAAATTAATAATTTTTAAAATACTATATTTTACTCAAAATACTTTTAATATTATTTTCATTAAATAAAAGACTCGGGCTAATCCTGTTCAGTTTCTTTTTTATGATTAATTTATTTAATTTTTGTTGAAAAAGTACATTTATTTCATTTACATAATTTTTAATAAATTCAAAAGTTCATAATTTTTCAATATAAAATATATTATTTTAAACTCATCATATTTTAAAGGTTATCATCAATAAATTTTCATAAATGATGAATGAGCATTTAAAGCATGTCATGTAATTTAATCATGTGTCATGTCATTTAAAAATTGCCATGTAAGGTGACACATGTCAACTTCTTGGAGACATGAGTTTCAAGTATTATACTCCCTCCGTCCCTAAATATTTGCCACATTTGTATTCTCGAGGCAAAATATCAAGTTTTTTAAATTCATTTTATTTACATATTGGTATAGAAATAAAAAATAAAATTTACATATCAAAAAACTACATGAAAAGTTTTTCAAAATAAGAGGTGTCCAGAATATTTTATTTTATCAAATAACCAATGAAAACGTAGAAATAAACAAAAGTTCTCGCAACTGCTGAAAAAGCAAACGTTGCAAATAATTTGGGACGGAGGGAGTAGTAAAGGATTAATTAGTGGTATAAGATGAGCTACTCGAGAGTAAATTTTAGCTTAATAAATTTTCATACAAAAGAATAAATTAATAATTTTTAAAAAACTATATTTTCTAACTATAACTTTCATACTATATTTTACTCCTGTCATCCTATATTGATCTTCCCACTTTGACCAGAGCTCATTTTTAAGATTGTGTAAAGAATGATTTGACATTCCAAAAATACTCTTAATCCTATCCTAGTGTCCCAGGAGGCTCATTGCCTTAGGAGGCTCATTGCCAAGCAGATCTAGGAACAAACTTTCACAAAAATAAAATATAGATCTATAGAAATCATCGTGTAGATCCGTCGAACCCATCTGCACCATCTCAATTTGGATTTGTCGTCGAACCCAACTATACCATCACTTTCGATCCACCTTCAATCTCGTTCTATCTTCCGTTAAATCCACAGAAATCATCATGTAGTTCCGCCATTGATTTTGTCAGTTCCACCTCCAATTATTGCGTCAATGGAATTATTGCAACATCCGAAGAAGCGATGAGAAAATAGAAAAGAAAGGGAGAAAGAAGAAAGACAAGAAAGGGAGAATCCAAAAATGAGAAGATAGAGAGAATGGGAGAACAGAGAAAGAGAAGAAAGGAAAGGAAGGGAAAAAAGAATAAAAAAAAGAAAGGGAAAATGAGAAGATAGAGAGAAGGGAGAATAGAGAAAGAGAAGAAAGGGAGAAAATTTGAGGCCGAAAACCCATCCTTAATTGAAATTTGACATAGATGGGGAATAGTTACTTTTTTCGTTCAAAATTAAATTTTCTTTATACATTTTAATTGATCGTTTAATAAAATAAAATAACCTTATCACCATTTATTTTGTAGAACTTTTAGTGTAGTTTTTTAATATATACAAAGTAATTTTTATTTTTAAATTTTACATCAAGTTTTACTTATATTTATTTAAAATAGCTTCAATCAAACATCGAAAATCGAATCGAAACTAAATTTTGAGATGGAGGGATTTGGGTATTTTTTTTTTGCTAATGCCAAAGTATATTTTGAAAAAGGGTTATGCTTGATTGACCCCAACATTTGATCCCAAAGATTTAACCTCTATCTTACATGCATTACAGACACAAAATAATATCAAATGTCTGTAAAGCTGGAGTTAAACTTTTGGGTAAAATGTTAGGATTAAAATAAGATTTTTCTTTGTAGTATATTATTGGTCAAATATAAAGTTGGAAAAACGAACCAAAACCTAAAAGAAATGACGAGTCGGTGCTCTACTCCGACAGTCCGACTCCCTGTATTTTAGGGAAGAAGTGGAGATTTAATTAATTAATTAATTAATCTACAATTAATACAGGGAGAGAGTACTATTCCGTATACGGATGACAAGTGTACAATGTGGGGAAACGGGATTAGTTACTGAGTGAGTGATTAGTAGGGCCGTTGGGTGAGTTGGAGATATGGTAGGTGCATGGACTTAACATTTAAAAAGCCATTTTGTTTACTCTTTTCGTCGTATATACTTGGGAGATACACCAAAGTAGGACTAAAATATTGAAAATATATTAAGATATGACTTTCATGTTTTTATTCCTGGAATAAGACTTACATTACTAAACATGGTCATATATATTACCAAAAAAATATAGTAATGTGCACATGTACGCTACCACATTACCACAGTGCAAAGTCACATTACCACAGTGCAAAGTCCTATTTCGGGAAAAAAACATTAAAGTTCTATTTTGGTACTTTTCTCTATGTTTTAGTCCTATTTAGGGCAATTTATAATGAAGAATTTACTTAAATAATACTAAACCATAATGACTTTCTCTAAATTGCACCACATGTGTTTTTTCCCAAAGCAGCACTTTTAGTCATTATGCATTAGTCATTATTCAAGCAAATATTCGTCATCACTGGACATTATTAAGTGATATTTAAGGAATAAAACAATTTAAGTGCTATTTAGGGAAATGACTTAAGTTTTAATGTTATTTAATGCAAATATTTCTTTTTATAATACAGGCAATCTATACACAAACAAAGATATTAATCGTCAGAGTGTTGAACGAGAAAATAGTTAAAAATCAATATATGTGAAACAAGGATATGGGAGGGATAAGAGTATTTATTTTTCTTTGATATTAACCTATTTTGGAATATATTACGTAAGTACATTAATTGGTAACAAAATTGCAGCTAAAGTCAAGAATAAACGCAGCCATTAAAGCGCAGGAGGATAACACGTCAAATGCATGCTCCACCTCACACACAAATGTCTTCTTAAACTTTAAGAAAAGTACTTTTAATATATAGCTAGAGATCAGATGCAAGCTAAGTATGATCAAGTGAAGGCAAACTACCTAAGATTCCTATTTTTAGCTACCCTCTCAAGCAAGTTCATGCATTATTTTAAATTAATTTCTTATTATAGTGGTTCATTAATTATTATGAACAGTTGTTACTTATATTTTAAATTATTTTCTCATACTCAGGGGCGGGGAGAGGGGGGGCATGCCCGGGCAAGTGCCCCCCGGCGTAATTCCGGCGATGGTTGAATATGGTACCCAATCGGCGATGGAGGCCGAATTTGCCCCCCAATTGTCGCAGCGATGGGAGGCCGGCTGGCCGGAACTGCCGATCGAAGAAGATGAAAGGTGGAAGAAGCAGATTCCCGAAGAAAAAACAACTCAAAACGACGTCGTTTTAAGATTGGGTTTTAGATTATTTTCTTGACCCAGCCCAAGATTACAGGGCCCAGTAGCCCAATTGTCTAAAAAAAATATGGAGTAGTCATCCCTCTTCGCCATCATAGGCTTATTCCGCAGCAGGCAACACGCAACAGCAGAACCGAGGAAGGCAGAAGAAATCCGCCACTGGAGTCTGGGAACCGACGGACAGGATTATATTTTTTAATTCTTCCAATTTTGAGCTTTTCTTCTGTGCTTCTTCATCCAATCTTCGAATCTTCTCTCGTCGTTGTCTAGGTATATTTAAATTTTAATTATCTAATTTTGAGATTTGTTTCTTACACTACAAGAAAACTGTCAATCTGCCACGGACAATTTCTGTTGCAGAATTTGAAATTCCGTGGCAGATTTAGAATCTGCAACGGACCTGCAACGAAAATATTCCGTCGCAGAAAACTTGTGGCAGATTTAAAATCTGCGACGGAACTGAAAATCCGTGGCAGATCTGCAACGGACCTGCAACGGGTTCGTCTATTTTTGCAACCCAAAAAATCTGCGACGGAAGTCTACACACCGTTGCAGATCTGCGACGAAATCAGCAACGTACTACTCCGTTGCAGACCACCTGATCGCAGCCACTAGTTTTTTCTATTTTTTGGCAGTAGCTATTAAAATTGGGGGCAAAACACATTCAATTTTCACACATAATTCTAAACAAGATATCAATACAAAATACATAATTCAAAACTAGATTAATGAAAACTTCACGTGCAAATGTAACATAATTCATAATATTGTAAAAACACTAAATATTAAAGTGTTAGTGTCAAATCTCAAAGGTGTCAACCCTACACCTCTTGTTCCATCATCATTGCCTCATGTAGGAAGGTTACCACCATATAACTTCCTTATCTCCTCCTAAATCGTGAGCGACAAGCTCGAGGTTAGATTATCAATTTGTTCTTGCAACATTTGATTTTGCTCTTTAAGTGCTGCTATCTCCGTTGCGCTACTGCTACTAGTGCTGGAACGGCGAGGTTTGGAGGACAGGTTGATCTTCCTCATTTCCCGCTCGTAGTCACCAACTCCACAAATGCAGTTCTTCGCGTTATGGCCCTTGACTAACGAGTACCATATTTCCTTGTCGGTGACTTTAAGCCCATTCTGTCTAGCCTCCTCGCGCAGTTCGAAGAATTGGGCCTGCAATATATGATAGTTAATAACACGCAATAACAACGTAACAATAATAGCGTTAAAAACAGTAAGAACAACAACATGAACAACATCAACAATAACACAAGAGCAGTGTTATATGACAACAACAACACTATCAACGCAACAACAAAAACAGTGTCATATGACAACAACAACAACAACAACAACACAAGAACTTACCAACATTATCATGGATCGATAACAACGTAACATCTAACTAGTGTTGACAGCACCATCAATGCAACAACAAAAGCAATGTCATATGACAACAACACCATCAACGCAACAACAAAAATAGTGTCATACGACAACATCAACACCATCAACATAACAACAATAATAACAACACAATTAACAATAACATAAACAATAAGAATAACGTCACCAAGAACAATTCAATTACACAAGAAAGTGAATACATTATCACCTTTAGAAGTTCTAAGATAAAAACACCAACATTATGAGCATGAACCCAAACTGTTTTGCAAATTACAGAAAGTACCTGTAGCTCAGCATGTCCCGAATCCACCCAAGTCTTGTCGTTGTGCTTCTTTGTCTTTGTGTGGATGATAACCTTATCCAACGGCACAGGCGCCCCTTTCTCCTTAGCCTTCAAGTCTCAATGAACATTTCCATTACATTTTAAAGTTAGTGTCCACTGAATAACAAGTGCAAAGCTATTATTTTATAAAATATATCTTACCAATCGATTCATATTTTCAGAAAATGGAATTGAACCTCCACAATAAGTCCCAAGAGCAGGACCATCCTCTCTTCCCTTTCTTCTGTTCTTCTTATTCGTCTTACTCAACTCCAAAAACTTGGATCCTCTTCCCAAACATATAGTTGTATATTTCATAAACATTACTAGTCTACTGATTCTAGTGTATTTTCTATTTCAATCCAATTACCTCTAGGGTGAACGTGGCACACTGCAATCCAATCACTCTTAGTCTTTTGCGTGCAAGGGTATTCCACATACACAACCTGGTTTGCTTGTGACCCAAAAATAAAAGGCTCATATCAGTTAAACTCCCCCTTCTTAAACTCTCCCAAAAATACATCAACTCACGATTTTTGAATGGACTCATTTTAGAAACACCTGATAATTAGGCAAACAACAATCATTAAACCAAGAATATCAACCAGTAAGTTATGGCTGTTTGGTATCGTTATATACGACAATCTTATTAAACCACAAACAACAATCATTTAACTACATATATCACAAAATTCAACTAAATTTTACTTAAATTCTCAATAAACATAAAATTAACTAACACAATTTCAACAAAAATTACACCTTAAATGCTATCAATTTCACAAAAAAGTAGTGCAATTTTTACCTAATTTCATGTCAATTTAAACTCATATTCACACAATTTGAACTAAATTTCACCATAAATGCACTAAATTTCACACAAACAAATTCAATTTCATAAAAAATTACAATAATAATAAACAGTATAAAATTTAAAAAAATACCTTGAGAAGAAGAGGAGGTCAGGTGGGGGAAGATGGCGGTCGAGACACTAGCAGCGGCGAGTGGTGGAGACCCTGGCGGCGGCGGCGAGGAGGGAGGGAGACACTGGAGGCGAGGGGTGGAGACACTGGCAGTCGAAGGCGGGGCTGGGAGGAAGACACTCGCGGCGCGGTCGACGGCGAGGCGAGGAGGACTAGCGCCGCGGCGTCAAGCATGCGGCGGCGGCGGGCGGTCAAGGAAAGCCGCGGAGGAGATGCGTCAGTTGAAGTTGTGTGGACGGAAGATGTCTGGACTTGGATCTGTGAACTGATTTCGTATGTAGATTGAAAAGAGGATAACCCGATGTTATTTAATTATCTGCGACGGAATTACATCCGTTGCAGATTCCGTAGCAGATCTGCTACGGAAAGTGTATTTCCGTCGCAATAATGTTCCTTTTCCAGAAATTATTTTTCCGTTGCAGATTCGTTGCAGATCTGCTACGGATATGTGTCCGTAGCAAATTTCCGTTGCAGACGAGATAAATTCTTGTAGTGTTAATATTTGAAATTTTTGAATATTGCTAAATTATGTTTAAAATTTTGAATATTTATTTTGTTCTAAGGTTCTAGTGTGTTTATTTAAATATTTGATAAGTGTTAATGTAATTTCATGTTCTAAAGATTAAGAACTATGAAATTGTTGTTTTAAGTTTATTGATACTCCGTATTTTATTTTGTTGCTTTCAAAAGTTGGTATCTCGAAAAAATTTTCTACAACCTCAAACAACTCTTACTTCTTTACACAAATATAAGGTATGTTTAGTTGCACTTTGCCAATTAAAATAGTTACTATTTTGAATTTTATTTATTTATTAAATGAATTTTTGCCCCCCCATGAATTTTTCCCTGGCTCCGTCACTGCTCATACTCTATCTGCCAACCTGTCCCTTATTTTAATTTATTTTCTTATACTTCATCCCCTAATTTGTCCCAAAAAGACGTACGTAAGTTATAACATCATGATTCGTATAATCTGGATTTATAAGAAATACGGTGAAATAATAAGACTAATTTTTTCATACACTTTTAAATTCAAACAAAATTCAATACATTAAAACCAAGAGGCATCACCATCAAGTGCCAAATATATATATATATATATATATATATATATATATATATATATATATATTTTAAAATATACTCCCTCTATCCAAAAAAAGATTCATTATTTCTTTTTTGGAACGTCTCCAAAAAGACTCATATTTCCTTTTATGGAAAAGTTTGAGTGACTCACAATTGTTTTGTCACTTTCAATCATACATTAATCACTTTTCTTAAATTTTGTATCAAGTCAAACTGAAAATCTTTTTTTGGATGGAAATAGTATTTTATTTTGAATTAATACATGAATACTTTTTTTTACTCCGTATTAGAGTCATGTTTAAGACCTTAGACAAAAGCAATGCTTAAGCACTACCTATGATTGTAATTAAACTTCAATTCTTTATTTAAATCCATCTTCCAATCTTCGAAACGATTCACTTGACATTGGTCACCAATGTCAATAAGGGTTTGAGCCTCGTAGGGTGTTCTAATAAATTTTTTTATAAATCCTACCCCAACTCCTCTGACCGCCCCAACCCCCAGGACCTCAATTACTTTAGCCAATCTGAGAAGGAAGTGGGCTAGGGTGCAGGGGCGGGCATGAGGGATTAATTAGAGGGGTAGAAATCATAGAATTTTCAAACAGAGCATCACAAGAACCTTAATTGGAATCTATGTCATAACATGACATTGATGACCAATATCACATGAACCAGGTCGTCCAACATAAGTGAAGAATTAAACAATAATTGTGTTCTATCATTTAGAAAGGATCATCCTACCTTTATACATACAAATGAGGGATATAATAATGGTAGGAGTAATAAATGAGAATCCTATACAAATAAGGCAACTACCATATATTACAATATATATTAAAAGTTCTAATATTTAACATGTTTCCGGCTACATTGGCGACAAGCGAACTCCGAGGTTGTACCAGAAATCCGCGAAGAGAAGTGATGGGAGTCCCTCTGTGAATATGCTAGCATATTGAGAGGAAGAATGGACATGAAGAACAAGCTTGAGAGTACATTTTGTGAGTCTTTTTTGAGAGGCGCATTGGCGATTGGAGCGAGGGTGTGGAGTTTCTTTTTTCATCTTGTGGACCACTCTCCACTTCTAAATCACTTTCCATGCTCAACCTCTACAAGAAACACAAACAAATGCAACCTTTTAATTCTTCGACCAGACACAAATATTTGTTAGAGAGAGATGGATAAGTGATGGTGATTGTAACAGGCTTATAATTTTTTGAAGTGAAAGAGAGGGATAAGAGACGATGAGTTGACTATCAATGATGAAGACTTGTGGTGGCGCATGGTCAAAAGAAAAGAGCTAGATTTTGAAGAGAGAGACTTTATCTACGATATCATGCATGATATAATATTATAACAATCAATCTATTAAATAATGAAAGTTACATCAATATATATTGATAACACATGGAGAATCTTAACCAAAGTAGAACAAGGAATTATGGTAACAATAGAATAATGAAAGTAAATTATGATAGTAATATTCTATTTCTTATTATCCCTGTTATTCCTAATAAGTATTAATAAAAAAGCATGTGTCCCTGGTTGATGCACCCATGAATGATTGTGTTACATGTTGAGGCTTTGCGTCAAAGGTTAATGGAAGCAGTTGTCCCAAGGGATCATAGGGTTTTGGCTGCTGCCAGAGGCGGATCCAGGATTTTACGGCCATGGGGTCCCCTACCCGGCTACCTCCCATTCTCATGTCAAACAACTTCATAAGTCATAACATTTAACAATAAATTAAAACTAATATTTGAAGAGTACCATAATTAATACGTATAAAAAAAGTCATGTGAAAACAATATCGTTTACAATTGTACTCGTCTAGTTTTCATATTTCGGAAGTGATTTATAATTACATCATCACTAATGGTGGAAAAGACATCTCTCTCAACATAAGTTATTATGCAGTCATTCAACCATTGATCACAAATTTTATTCCGCAACTCATTCTTCATGAGCTTCATTCCCGAAAAAGATCGTTCAACACTTGATGTTGCCATAGGAAGTATCAATGCCAACTTTATGAGAACATATACGAAACCGTACGTAAGAGACTTTTTAGTGGAAACCATTTTCATTGAGAGCTCAACAATACTCCTTAAATCATTGAATCTATGGTCAGAGCTAACATCCATATACTTATCACTTGCAATCCTAAATCAATTTTTTATTGAAGAAAAATCTTTGATTCTTTAATGTATAAATTATTATTTATTACTAAATACTAATCATATATTCATATATCAAACTTCAAACTACCATAAAAAATAAAAAATTAATTTTAATAAAATACGGAAATTAATTTTAGTAAAAAATTAATTTTACCGTTGAGTCGTTGACGGGAGTGAAGGAGTCCGGAGAGTGAATGCCTGAAGTGATGCCGACGGGACGAAGATGACGCAGGTCGCCCGTCGCTGGCGGCCTGGAGGGCGGCGGTCGCAGGGCAGAAGTTAGGGAGTTAGGGTTCCAAAATCAAAAGTGTAAAATAAAGAATTGGGGAACTGGGAAAGAGAGGAGAAATTTACAGAGAAAGGGGGCAGGGAAAACAATGTTGTTTTGATGCTAATTACGAAAAAAATTGACTCCATGAAAAAACCCAGCTGGGAGTCGAACCTCTGTCTAGGGGAGAGGGTTAGGTGCACCAGTGCAATACTCCACTGAACCAAACGCACTTGTAGTTAATATCTGACAAGCTTCTGTTATATATTAATATCTATACATACCTAATACCTATATGAACCTACCCCGGGGTCCGTGGGGTCCCGGGACCCCAGGGGACTCAAGGTGGGTCCGCCTCTGGCTGCTGCTTTCCCTAATTCTGGTATACATCTTTTGTAGATTGTGACAGGGAGGAGCTCAGATCAGTTATGTTGACATGACTCTATTTCCACATGCTGAGATGGTTGGTTTTGGTTGCGTGCTCTTGAGGGAGAGTCGTTCTCTATATGCAGTTGTGAACGAGGGTTTAGATTGTACTCAAGATCCTCTTCTTGCGGAGGCTATGACTTGTCATGAAGCATATTCCTAGCTGAAGGGAAGAGGGTTCACAAAGTTAAGCTTTTTTCGAATTGTTTACATCACGGCTATTCAACAACGGGTTCGTGGCACTTATTAATCATATCTTGGTTCGTTGACTGAAGTCTGTTCAGCTATTTTTTCTTCTTTTGATTCTGCATCTAATTGTTATATTCGTAGATCTTCGAATTTGGTTACTCATGCTTTAGCTAGGAGTGCTTCTTCTCGCGGTTATTCAACAATGGGTTCATTGCACTTATTAATCCTATCTTGGTTCGTTGATTGAGGATTGTTGAGTTATTCTTTCCTCTTCTGAATATGCATCTATTCTTATATTCGTAGACCTTTGAATTTGGTTGCTCACACTTTACTCACACTTTAACGTGCTTATTCTCACCAAGTTTTCTAGGAGAACACTCTATTAATTTACTGGTTCAGTAATAAAATTCTTGTTCTCCTAAAAAACATGTTTTACTCCGTATTTAAAAGTCTAAAATGCAAATTGGACACGAATTCAAAATATTTGGACCTGTATTGGACGAAAAGCTATAAATATAACCCATTTTAGAGTTTTCAGCCCGACACAGTACTGGGCCGGCCCACCGCTGCCATCGCAACTAATTTCTAAACGCTTTGACCCAATTCCATCTCTCTGTCCCGTCCCGTCACCCTCGAGTCAAAGCAGCAAAGATTCCTAACAAATTTAGCTCCGTCGCGCTCCACCGGCCGGCCACCGCAGCAACCACCGTCCTCCGCCTCCAGCAGCCGCCCCCTGTCCATGTAAAACCGCAGCTGCTGTCTTACTCCCGGAGTCCCTTCTTCTAATGGACTCACAAAAGCCCCCCAATTCCCAACCAATGCGAGTCCTCATTCGACCACCAATCCCACCCCCTGCCCCCGCCTCGCTTCCGCCTACCCCAAACGGAGTTGCGGTTGTCGGATTCATCGGGAAACGTCAGGCCGATGTCACGGGCTTAATCAATAGAATTATCGACTCCAATGTCTTCGGGTCGGGGGGTTTGGACAGGCCATTCCGCATCGAGAATTTGGTAATCGGGGAAGAAGTCAAGCGCTGGTTTAGGTATAGGGATATCAGCTATTACCACGATAATGAAAAGGGGATTCTGTACTTGCAGTTCTCGTCAATCAGGTTCCCTGTG